TTCTCAGACTTTTTTTCTTTTGGGTGACTGTGAGGGTTTGAGGACAGCTTCTCGTGGATTTTGTAGGATGTCCTTACATTAGGGTTTGTTTGTAGTTTCTTTCTTCATGATTATACTGGGGTTGTCAGCTTGGGGAAGACCCCAGAGGACAGATGTCCTTCCCGTCACATCGTGTCAAGGTCCTGTATGATGGACACTACCTACCACTGGTGATGTTGCCCGTGATCAACCATGGTCCCACCTCTGTCCCACACTGTCCTTTGAGGAAGAAGTCGCTATGCATAGAATGAGGCATTATACTCCCTTTCCTTGAAGTTGGAGTAGCTGTATAAATTATCTAGGATTCTTTTATCTGGAAGGTTGGTCTCTTCTCCTGCATCTATTATTTATTCAGTCATTTTTATATCAATATGGATTCACAGATATTTTGTATTCTTAGTTATAATCCAGTAGTCATTTATTTCTGTGCTCAAATTGTTCCAGCTTTGGTCATGAGGGGTCTTTCTGCTGGCCCCGGTGTCCTTCTGGCAAACCCCATCACTGCGGAGGTCATTCTGTTGCATTGTGTCTGAGCACTTCCTTGCACTCTGGTGCTCCGAGCTTGTCTTGGATCCCTGCTGCCATCTCCTCGGAGTTGGCCTTTCTCCACGTGCCTTGCTGTCTCTTATGGAGAATGGTACTGGAAGCCAAACTTTGGGTCCTGGGTGTGCGCTTCCCTCTTGTGATGTCTTGATTCTAGGTCCTGTCAGCTGGCAGAGCAAGGAAACACGTGTGTGTATTCTAACTTAGGCACACACGCTTAGCTCTGCACACAACCGTCTGGATCAAGATTGAGCTGAACACGAGTGTGCTCGTGATGTCTGCTCACCTCTAAACTCCCACTCTGGGATGCACGCCTTGTGCCTCCTGCCTGCTGCCCTCCTGCTGAATCTCTTAGTTCCGGTGTACGTGCACAGCAGCCTCAGAGCGGTCAGTTCTCTCCTCTGTGGGAATCAGTGGTAGCCACTTCAGTATGGAGCTTATGTAGGGCATATTTTTCTTTAATTTTACAGAGTCCACTCATTTCTAACATTTACTTATGTTAGCACCTTTCCCTCCAACCTCCAGCAAGGTCGTTTCCTACATAATAAAACTGTTAGATTCGTTTGTCACATTATGTATGCCATCCTGGGACCCCACAGCCTCCTAAATGATATTTTAAAATTTGCATACTTTCACGTTTGTGCTCTGCGCTGTAAAGTTCTTTGGGTTTTGACAAGTGCTGAATGTCTTGCATTCTCCATTACGATATCATACAGAGTCATCTCATCGTCCTAGGAAAAAATCCCCTGTGCTTCACCTGCTTAACTCGTTTCTTATTCTGAACCCTTGGAAAACACTGATCTTTTCACTGTCATTATAGCTTTGCGTTTTCTAAAATGTCATCTAACTGGAGTCTCATAATGCAGTGATTTTTTTCTACTGGTTTCTTTCACCTAGTAGTGTGCATTTCAAATTCATTCATTTTTTGTGGCTTGGTAGCTATTTCTTTTTATTATTGAGTAATGTTCCATTATATGGATGTATTGGTTTATTAATTCCACAATTAAAGGACCTATCAGTTGCTTCCAGTTTTGGGTGCTTGTTTGTTTTGTATTGTTTTGTGGATGAAGGTTTCCAAATAGTCTTGGCACATGAATTCTTAGAAATGGTGATGATTGCTGGATTGTGTATATTAAGACTACATTTTGTTTTGCATACGGGGCCTTGAGCGTGGTACACAAGTGCTGTACCACTGAGATGCACCCCACCCTTTTTTATTTTGAGACAGGGTTTTGCAGTGTTTCCCAGCTTGGATTTGAAACTGCTGTGTTGCTGCCTTACCCTCCCAAGTAGCTGGGATCACTGTGTATACCCCCGTGCCTGGGTCTCTTTGGTTTTTTAAGAGCAGACCCAACAGCCTTCCAAACTAATTGTACGGCTTCATATTCCCACGATCCGTGAGTGAGAGTCCGTGTTAATCTGTATCTTCACTAGCGGTTGGTGTTGTCAGGTGTTTGGGTGTTAGCTGACTGATGTATGTCTATGTCCCCTGGCTTTCATCTCCTAATGAAAAACAGTGATGAACATTTTTCAAGATGCTTATTTGCTACCTGTATCTTTGCTAAAATATCTTTTCAGATCTTTCCTCCATGTTTAAGTATAGGATTATTTCCTTTCTTACTTTTCCTTTTTCAAGAATTCCTTTTATAGTTCGTATACAAAATCTCTCATATTTTACAACATATTATTGTCCCGTATGTAGCTTGTTTGATTCTCTTATCAGTGTCCTTCAAGGAGCAGAAGTTTTGCATTTTAGTAACCTAAAGTTACCAATTCAAGTTACTACTTTTTTGTTTTATGGAACTTGTTTTTGGTGCTCTGTATGAAAACTAATCACCAGACCCAAGGTGCTTAGGATTTTATCTTGTACCTTCTAGAAGCTGTATAGTTTTGCATTTCATGCTTCGTGCTGTGATTCATTTTGAGTTGGTTTTCGTGAAAAGTGTACAGTCTGTGTCCAGGATCACTTTTTCTTCTGCAAATGGGAGGTCTGTTTCAGTACCATGTATTGAAAAAGACCATCCTTTCTCCACTGAATTGTCCTTATTCTGTTGCCAAAGGTCATTTCACTACATTTATTTGGGTCTCTTCTGGGGTTGCTGTTCTATTTCATCGATCTTACATGTGACTATTTTCACTGTCTTGAGTCCTGTGGCTTTATATTAAGCGCTGGAATCTGGTAATGGGGGTTCTCCAACTTTGTTCTCACTCTAAAGGATTATTTGGGCTATTCTAGGTTGTTTTTCCTTCCTAAATAAAGAACTAGTGTGACAATATATACAAAATATCATGCTAGAATTTTGATTGGCATTACTTTGAACCTAAAGTTCCTAACTTGAACCAAGTTAGGAAGAATTGATGTCTTAAAAATGTTGACTGTTCTAATTCACAGAATATCTCTCCCTTTATGTAGATCCTTTTTGATTTCTTTCATTAGAGTTTTGTAGTTTCCTGCAAAGATAGCCTATACATATTTTATTAGATTTATACATAAGTAGTTCATATTTTGGGTGCTGTTGCAAATAGTATTATTTTTAAATATCAAATTCCTGCCCATTGCTGGTATGTGGGAAAGTAACTGCCTTGTATATTAACCGTGTATTTTGTGACCTTGCTGAATTTGCATATTAGTTCCAGGAATAGTTTGGGGTTTTCTCCCCCTTTAATTCTTCAGTGCTAAGTAATCTTGCCATATGTAAAGAAAATTCATTGTGTTTCTTCCTTCTCAATTTCTAGAACCCAACCCTGCCCTCCACTCCCCTTCCCCTTCTCTTTTCCCTGGTGTTTGTGCACTAGCTTGGACTTTCAAGGTGATGTTGAGCGGGACAGATGACATCCTTTCCTTGTTTCAGATCTTAGAGGGAAGGCATCTGACTTCTCACCATTAGGTCTTCTGGTAGCCAGAAGTATCTTGTAGCCAGAGGTAGCTGTTCTTTGTCAAGTTGGGGAGGTGCCTTTTTGCTGGATTTTGTCACATGCTTTTCCTGCATCAATTGATCTGATCATAGGATTGTTTTCTTCAGCTTACTGATACAGTAGGTTACACTGACTGATTTTCCAGTGTTGAATCAGCTTTGCATATGTTTGTAGCATATAGTTCTCTTTTTCCACTGTTGGCATTGATCTGGTAATATTTTTGAAAACTTTCACATCCATGTGCATGAGAGATACTGGTCTAGAGTTTTGTTTTCTTATCATATCTTTATCTGGTTTTGGTATTTGAATAATGCCACCACATGGAAGTTCCTCTGCTTCTGATTTCTGGAGCAGATTGTGGAAGTTGGTGGCATTTCTTCCATAAACGTTTGGTAGAATTAATTCACTTGGGTCTAGTACATTTTCTTTTAAAAGATTGTTAATTATTGACTCCATTTATTTAACAGAGGCCTACTGAGCTTATGTATTTCTCCATGTGTATTTTGGAGATTTGTATGTCTTCCAAGGAAGTTGTTGTATTTTACGTAATCTATCAAATCAATGGGCAGAGGGTTGTTCATAGTACTTTATTACCCTGTCAGTGTCCATATGATCAGTAGTAATGACCCTCTTTCATTTCTGATACTGACAATTTGTGGTCCGTCCCTACATCCCAGGCTGAGAGGTTTTCACAATGTACCTTTGAGTGTGTTCCCAGGCCTGCTTTGGAGGAAGGGTTGGGGGAGTAGACGCGACATGCTTTCCTCAGGACTCCCAGGAGCTTCTGATGCTTCTAACAGGTTGACAACCGGGAAGCACCTCGTGTCTGGATCTTCCATTAGTTTTCAAACCTTTTCAACCAGGGTACTCTCTAGCCGCCTGGAATGCTAATATGTAAGATATAAAAACGCAAAGCCATTATAATTGATTTGGAAGAGGCAAAAGGCCTGAAGACCCTGCCTGCTTTGTTCTCACCTCCCTAAGCTCAGGGCATCTAGTTTCCAAGAAAGCACGGGGCTCTCAGCGCCCCAGCTCGGGCTGTGGTGTCGAATGAGATAATGCTCACCAAGTGTTGTGGGACGTGCTTATTAGCACAGAATACAAGCTAGATAAAGGCTAATGGCTACAGTTGCTCGTCCTAGTAATTCCTCTTTGGTCACAGCATCCACCAGTGAGCAGGGCTGCTTCGCCAGTGCTCAGGGGTTCCCCTTTGTCAAGAATCCAAGGATAATGCCCTGCTCACAGGCCGGTGTGCTGGAAGGGGTGCAGGGGTCAGGACCACATGGCCAGGCCCTTCACAGAGAGCCCCCTAGGTGCTCTTCTGACTTGAAGATGCAGCATTTAAGTCGCAGACTCTTCACTACCCTCTTCTCCCCAACAGAGAGAGCACAGGGCCCGGCCCCGTCTGCACCTTGGCACTGAGAATCCAGGCACTCTCTGGTTGTATTCTGGCAGCACTGTGGCCTGTGTCTGTTTCTCACTTTGCTTATCTGCCGTTGAAGGCTCTGCTCTGACCAACGGGGCGCTGAGCCTGCACAGCCCGGTGAAGAGGAAGCTGGAGACTGAGAAGGACTACGTCTTTGATAAGAGGCTCAGGTACAGCGTCCGCCAGAATGAAAGCAACTGTCGGTTTCGGGACATCGTGGTGCGAAAGGAAGAGGGCTTCACGCACATCCTGCTGTCCAGCCAGACCTCGGACAACAACGCGCTGACGCCCGAGGTAAGACAGTCCAGACCTCTTTGCCTGTCCCTCTCTCTTGCCACGGTAGCAGTGGAACACGGAGGGTTAGTGACAGGTCATGGGGGGACACAGTCGGGCAGCCCAGTGACCCAGCTCGGAGCCGATAGTCCAGGCTGGCATTACCCGGTAGATCTGTACACTCAGGGAGACTCTGGAAGTGGGGCTGGGGGCGCTGAATCCTTAAACTTGTGATCATGTGGTCTCATCTTATGGTTCTCCTGTGGGACGGTGGGCCTCACTGTCCAACACGATTAACAAATTGTGAGGGGCGACGCCGTGACTTGTGCCTTTGAGTTTGTGGGGCTGCTGGGTGCTGGCTGCCGCTCCTCTAAGCTTGAGGTTCTGAGGGCCTCCCCTCCTCCACCTCCAGAAGGAGGACACGAGGCTTCTCTGCCATGTAGACCTCTGTGTAGGATTCCAGGGACCCCCAGAGCACAGTTCTACCCACAGGCGGCTCTTCACATGTTCACACACCTGGAAGCCGTGTTATTTTAAGCTCATTGTGACACATCCACACGAGACAGGTTCTTCTTTTTTCTCCTTCACTCCTTTTTGAAAGCGTGCTTTAAAAAGATACAGCGTTTTCCTTCAACAGATCGAATAAAGGTGACGTCTCCCAGCTCACTCTCTCTCGGGAGCAGCTTTATGCATTAGCTATTTCCCACTCATCCCAGAAGCTGTGTTGTGCTCGACTGATCCAGGGTGCCCGGGTCCTCACCCGCTGAGCCGTGGGCATGGTTAATTAGGGATTCCATTCCTAATCAGCGTTGGTTGGTCACAGAATGGGAGGAAGAGGGAAAAAGCTATCAATCCTGTAATTTCAGCTGTCTTCACTCTGTGGGTGAGCTGCCTGCCTGGGTAAAGTAGCCCTGAAAGAAAAATTATGCTGAAATGCAGAGGTGCTGTTAGAGAAGGAATGCAGACTTTGAAGTCTAGCAGACCTGGGTTCAAGTCATACCTCCACCAGCTCACCACTTCTGTAACCTTGGGAAGTTACTTTGCTTTTCTGAGCTTCCTTGGCTGCAGAAGTTATAGTTTCTCAGTGAGATCAGAGCCAGTGTATGCACAGAGGCTTCCAGAGTATCTGGGACACCGGAGTAATGAATGTTCTTGTTGTCATTAAGATGAAACAGAGGCCATTTCACGGTCAGAGCAGACCAGCCTGGCTTGTTAGGGTAGAAACTGGAAAGGAACCACTTTCACGGCCACAGCTGAATTTCTAGGTGTCCATGTGTCATTGGTTGAATTGACCATTTAGGCAAAAATTCATTTATTACTGGAAGTGTTAGCTAGGTTCTGATGCTGGTGGGTGTGTTGTGGTGTTTTTCTTGTCTAGATTGTAGCAGAGTACAGGGAGGTTAACAAACATGATGCTGCATCGTCCTCATGGTTGAAGGCTCGTCCACATCACTGCTGGGGAGAGGACCCCAGTGCTGTCAGCTTCGGTCACCATTGCCACGAGCCTCCATGGGGATGAGATGGCCATGTAGGGTCCTGGTCATACCCCTCTTGCCATGGCCCCATTCAAGCTTGTTCATGCACACTGTTGATTTGCCTCCTGTTTGCTTCTATTTCTGTCATAATCACTATAGTCACAACTACTAGGCCATTTTTCCAGGACCTTTGCTGTAGCCTGCTCAAAGTCTGCCTACTTCATCATTTCCATGCTTCCTGACCTGGAGGCACTCTCCACAAGGCAGGCAGAATGATGTGCTGGAAGCATAGCTCTGACCACACCATCCCTGTACACATGTGCATGTGTACACACACACACATGCATGTCAAACATAACAAGCAGAACCCTCAGTGTGGCCTGCAAGTGTGAAGTCTGACCTCATGTCATGTCTCACATCACACTTCTGTCCTCTGCGTTCCAGAGGCTTGTTTTCTTACTGTATCTGTCCTAGGGCCTTTGCACATGCTCACCCTTCTTCCTGGAACAGGCTTTTATGCCTCCTTGCTTCATTAAAGCCTGTTCTTTCTTCGGATCTCAGCTTGTCCATTACTTTTGTAGAGTCTTCCTTCACCATCCTCAGGTCATCTCTCTCCTCCCATGGGCTTCCCTAGCACCGGGCTCCTTCCTCTTGGACCTGTCACAGTATATATAGTTGTTGTGTTTTACTAACTACCTGATTCTCTCTCATCGGACCAAAGCCTTTTGAGGGATTAAAGATATGTATTCTCTCTGTTATGGTTCAGATCTAACATGCTGCCCCAAAGCCTCAGGTGCTCAGAGCTGGGACTTTGGGAAGGTGGTTGGATCATGGGGGCAGTATACTCATCAGTGGATTAGTCCATGAGTGAGTTTGAAGCTAAGCATGCTTTTAGGAACTGGGATCTTGTTGGAGGAGATTCAGTGGGGGTATGACCTGGGAAGGTGTATTCTTGACCCTGGCTCCTCCCTCCTCACTCTGCTTATGGGTTGAGCTGCTTTCCTCGGCCAGGCCTTTCCACCATGTTTTTGCTTTGAAGCCATCTGACATGGACTGAACCCTCTGGAACTGTAAGTCAAAAAAACCAAACCTTTCCTCCTTCAGGCTGTGGGAGTCAAGTAGTTTGTCCCAGCAACAGGAAAGTGACTGATTCATCCATAATTCCGTGAATATTTTTTAAAAACCATGACACAACAAGTTCTGAACTGAGGATTTATAGATGAGCAAAATACTATTCTAACTCTTAAAAGATTATATTAATTATTGATTTCTGCCTAACAAATAGTGCTAAATTTAGCACCTGCAAATGACAAGGACTTCTTATTGCCCAGTCTTTGGGTCAGAAATTAGGGTGGGCTCAGCTGATATCTCTGGTTCAGGGGCTCCCTCCAGCTGCAGACTGGGTGCTAGCTGGGCTGCAAGATCATCAGTGGCTTGTCTGCTGGAGGGGGGTCCACCGCCATGCCCAACTGTGTGGATGTTGGTGGGCCTTGGTCTTCACTGGCCAGAGACATCTGTTCCCTGCCACATGGGCCTCAGGATTACCAATGACATGACAGCTGGCTTCCTCCAGAGTAAGAGCAAGAGGCAACACATAAAAGCTGGAGTCATTTTGTTACCTACCCTCGTCTTGAAAGTGCCACCTCATCAATCACTTTGGCATCCTGTGCAGGTTAGATATCAGTCACAAAGTCGAGCCCTCACTCAGGTGGTTGCAGAAGGGTGTGAGTAGCAGACAGGGCGTCAGTGGGCCCATCTCAGAGGCAGCTTCCATAGGGGTTTCCAGCAGGCAGGAGGCAGATGAATAAGGATTTGCACATTCTACAGGGCACGGAGGAGCTTGTCAGATGCCCTGCAAGGGTTTACAGTATTTGAGATGTCGGGAGAAGTCCACACATCCAGTTGGAAACTTTTGGGAAAATGCCTCCTGAAGGTGATTGCTTTTGACATGGTCCTGGAGTGACTAGATCTCAGGGCAAAGAGGCACCCTGGCTCTACTCCTCTTGTATCTGGGTCCAGTGGACTTGGTTGTCTGGCTCTAGACCCAAGGCAGATGCCAGCAGCAGGTGCAGTGAGCTAGGAAGTGCAAAGCTCACCAGTAAATGCACAGGATATATTTGAGACCTCAATGTGCAAGGCAGTCTGCATGTTAGAGTCACTGCAGAACACTTGGAATTGGTCTGCTGCTTATTTTTGTGCGGGTCTAAGAGTGTTCAACGTCTTGTACTGAAAATGCCATTTATGCTTGCGTGTGGGTGGTAGTTTAGCTGGGTGAAGAATTTTTGTCAGCAACTTGAAAATTATATCCTGTTAAGTCCTTCTGGTATTTAGTTCTGCTATTTAGAATTATCCCTTCAACCAACTGTTTGTACTTTTAAGATAATCCTTCTTTTGTCTCTGGGCATATTTATTTATTTTCATTTGTTTATTTTTAAGTGCATGTTTTTATTAGCGCCCATTAATTTTACAAAATATTGTGTTTCAGTGTGTAGAATGTATTTTGATCATATTCATCCTCATGAACCTCCCATTCTCACCCCTTATTTCCTTCCTCTTGTCTAATAATAATCTCCCTTCTGCTTTTTTGTCATCTCTTTTAGAGTTCACCTATTTGGAGAATATGTGATGTCAGAATTTCTGAGTCTGGTTTATCTTGCTTAATGTAATCATTTCCGGTTCCATCCACTTTCCTGTAAATGACATATTTTGTTCTTTTTATGGTGAAATTGTATAACATATGTTTTACTGCAAAATCACATCGTACATACTTCATTATATAATATATATGGATGTGTATATATATTATATATATATCTCACATTGTCTTTATCCATTCATCTCTTGGTGGTTCTGCTTCCTGTACTCAGGTTAAATGAACTTGGCTGTCTGGCTGTAGATCCATGGCAGATCTGAAGCCAGAAGTTGTGTAGGGGAAGCAGGTTTTCTCCATCAGCCTCCAGTAGCAGGTCCATGGCCTAATTGCCAGGACCTATGACCATGTAGGTCACATGGCAGGAAATTAGGCAGCAGAAAGTGCTAATGAGTGACTTTAAGAGGAAAGATTATCCTGGCCTGTCTGGATGGACCCAAGGTCATCACGGAATTCTCAAGTGTAGAAGAGGGAGATGGAAACATTGGTGTGTGTGTGTTTGTGTGTGTGTCTGTGCGTGTGTGTATGTGTGTGTGTGTGGTGCAGAATGAGAAGACTCCGCTGACTATGGGTGGCTTTGAACATGGAGGGAGGGCCACGAGCCCAGTCGGGCAGGTGCCTGGAGAAATGCGAAAAAGCAAGAAACCAGATTCTCCGAGGCCTCTGCATAGCAGTGCAGCCCTGCTACCCACATTCTCATCTTACCTCTTTAGATACCGCCTCCCTCTTCTTTGTGACCTTTGAAAGAACCTTGAGCACCTGCTGTAAACCTTCCTGTCACACTTGTCTATACCCCCTCATTCATATTTCCCGTCTATGTCTATGTTCTTGATTCAGGACAGTCACTTCTTTTCAGTTCAGTGATTCTCCCTTTAGCTCCAATTAATCTGTAGGTGTCCATGATTTTGTTTTTCCTTATAAGAACTTTTCCCTACTCTTCTTTCTTTATTGTTAATATGTCTCCTTGCCTTGCTTATTTGAAATATTTTTATGCTACAGTCTCTTTTAGACCAGTAGGGCTTACAGGTGTTGTCCAACCCTCCTGTGCACGGAGGCTGCTGACTTGTATTTCCTCAAGTGTCCTGTAATTTTTCACTGTGAGCTCACTTTCGACAGGAATTTATTCCCTGTGTGATTCTCCTGCAGTCTCAGGTGCAGTTTTTCTCCCGAGTACTTTTATATTCATTTCCATGAGATACCTCTGGGATATCCCCAGGCCAAGTCCAATTTCCATGTTAATTTTTTAACTTGGAGATTTCTCTTACATGTTGCAATGGAACTCAGAAGTTCAAATCCAGGTACAGTGCAGGTTTGGAGTTTTAAATTCTCGTGGGAGGTTTTTCCTCCCGCAGAGATAAATTGCTTGAGCAGCTTGTCCTGAGTGCGCCATGGGGAACAGGTGGTACAGGGGCCGTGCTAGTGAAGGGAGAGTGGGTTGCGGCACAGACTTCCTGTCTTCATCACCTATGCTGTTGGGGCAGCCTGGCCACACTGCTATGGGCCAGCCTGAACGCCAGGCTCCCGAGACAAGTTATATAGGCAGGATGAACGGCGTCCACTGCAGGAGTATGGCGGGAAGGAGTTGGAGAGTGTGAAGGCAGCAGGGGTTGAATGGCCATGGCCCAGACCCTGAGCTTCTGGGTGATGTTTGAGCCTTCACACTCAGCATGTGTGTGCCGGGGGATCAGCTTCAATCCTGGCTCCATCAGAACCTCTGCAGGCCTCAGAGGGCAGAAGGGTCTTCTTGGCCCTGTTTACTGCACACCTTATACCCAGCTGCTCATGTGGCGAGACTGCTGCTCCGTGGAGGGCTTCGGACCAAAGGGCCAGGTGCTTTGAGCGGCAGCCTTGACTGCCTTGAGCGCTTCTAGGTTTGAGAAAGCAGCCCACCTTCGGAGGTGGAGAAAGAAGACTGAGAGCTACTATATAATGAAACAAGCAATAATTGAGTGTCCACTGTATACCAGGCACTGTGTTAATCCCCAGGAATATGGTAGGGGATGAGAGAAGCATCCTTCTTGTTATTAAACCGACAGTCCAGCAGGACCGGACAGGTAAAATGTCCTCTTTATTAGCACAAAGGGAAGGAAGGAAATACTCTCTATCTAGAATTCGTTGCATCTGCCAGGAATGTGAGCCTTCAGGTGGACACGGCATTCTCCTTCCTTTTATTTATTCTTCCCCAAAGTTCTTGAAAGTGGGTGCTGTGATCCCTCAAGCCAAGCGTGACCAGTGTGTCTTAGGTCCTAGAGCTAGGAAGTAGCAGGGCCAGAATTTGGACCAGGGTCTCGTGACAGTGATCAGACTCGGGACTCGGGTCCAGCTCTGACGTCAAAGCCCCTTACCATTACCGTGGGCCACCCCAAGCCGCACGAGGGCCTAGGCTGAATGAAGAGCCAGTAAGAGAAGACGTAAGCTGCGCCATCTGGAGAGGGTGTGTGCGCCTCCCTTGGCCTGCACACAGGACTGTTTTCCCACAGCCTGTAAAGGGCTCAGTAAGCAAATGTCAGAAGAGGATTTGCAGAGAGATACGGGGATTGATTGACTCCCAGTCAGGCTTCTGGATCTGAGTCACTGACCAACAGGCCTCCTTATTAATTCTGCGGGCTTTGGGGATGGTGCCTGACGGCTTTGGTTTCCATAGTGTTTCTGTCTTTGATCTGGATGTGTGCTTGGCTTTGGAGGAGGGTCCTGGCCCAGGCAGAAGGAGCTCTTCCCACCTCTCCCCTCCGGGGCCAGGCCCCCCGGCTGGCTTGCCGATGGACCCTGCCATCCCTTGTACTCATCTCTGCCTGCAGATCATGAAGGAGGTCCGGCGAGCGCTGTGCAACGCGGCCACGGATGACAGCAAGCTGCTGCTGCTCAGTGCCGTGGGGAGCGTGTTCTGCAGCGGCCTGGACTACTCCTACCTAATTGGCCGCTTGTCCAGCGACCGGCGAAAGGAGAGTGCTCGGATCGCGGAAGCCATCAGGTGAGCCTGCTCCTTCCTGTCCAACAGCCTGGGGGCCTGCCTTGGATCACTAAGTTTAGCAAGTAAAAACCACAGGCTGCTCAGTTACATTTGAATGTCAGATGGCAAAATAATTCCACTCTTAGCATAAGTATGTCCCTTGCACTATTTGCGATATACCTATATTTAAAAATTATTGAGTGTTTATTTAAAATTTGATTTTTGAATCTAGGGTCTTATATCTTATTTACAGCCCTAATGCTGCCACAGTTAGGGATGCTGTGCTCTCTGGGTTAGATCTCACTTTTGTTCTTTCAATCAGAAATGGATTTTTCTTTTCCTGTTAAGGGCTGGGTCTGGTGATGCCCTGCGTGACACACCATAGTCCTGCCTCTGCCTGGTGGTGGAAGTCCCTGGGGCGTCCTGACATTTCTGTCCTGGATCTAAGCTGTGACTCAGCAGTGGTGGTGATGGGGGGAAGCTATACATTTGCAGACCCCGTGGTGTGGGAGTGTTTACCCTTCTCTTCCTGCCTTTGAGGCAAAAGTGAGGGTCCTGAAGGTGACGTCCAGTACCAACAACCAGTATTCCTTTTGGGACACAGGGTAATTACTTCTCCATTCTTTACAAAAGTAAACAAGGATGATTTCCAGCCAGGGTCATTCAGCTGGCTGACAGCTGTCACTTTGTGTCCACCTTAAGAAGGGTGAACACACTCCCTGCTGTGCTTTGCTTAGGGAGACGGACAGAAGTCACCGTTCAGTCAGTCCCTGGCCTCATGGGAAGAAACACTTAGTCCCCGTGGTGTCAAGGAGCCCCAGGCTGCGTGTCCGGATTTTCTGGGACTCCAGTCTTCACTGCTGTGTGGCTGCATCACGCAGACTGCTTTCTACGTGGCTAAGAGGCTTTGCAAGTGTCCAAGAGGTGACATTAGGACACTCATATGGGGGATTCTGGTCCCTCCTCAAAGCGAGCCAGGGTGCTTCCTGGAGACCAGGAGGAGCCTGGCCGCTGTCACTGCAAGGGAATCTGGGGTTTATGCTGCTCCCAGGCGCAGCCCAGTCCACTGAGGTTTGCTCTCTGCTTGGTCTCAGCTGTGTTTCTCTGGCTTCTCGGGAGTCAAGGGGAGCAGCAGGATCCCCAGTGTTCTTCTGTCCTCATTTATGAGGCCATTTGAACCCAGACTAAAGAGCTGAGTGCCCACCTCAGTGAACCATGGGAAACTTCGCTTATCTTGTTTATAGATTTCTGGTCTTCATCTGGATTTCCAGAACCCAGGAAAACCAGTTTGACATAACCCTTGGTTTCCATTCCTCGCACACAGTTCATTAGGGTGAAAACTTCCGTGGCATCCCAAAAGATATGTCCATATCCTAATCTCTGGAACCCATAAATGTGACCTTATTTGGAAAAAGGATCACTGCAGACGTAGTTAAGTTTAAAATTCCAAGATGAGCTCATCCTGGATTAGAGTGGGCTCCAGACCTAAAAGGAGCCGCCCCCACAAGGGCAGAGGAGACACAGAGCCGGAAGAAGAGGACGTGATGTGCAGGCAGGGACTGAAGGGAGGCAGTTGCCAGCCGAGGAGCACGGGGGTGGCTGGTACCAGCAGGAGCTGGCGAGAGCCTGGTGCTCTCTCCGGAGCCTGCAATCCTCCCTGGATCCCCCAAGGAACCAGCTCCCCATACCTGGACTTTGGACTTCGGGCCTTCAGACTGATGGGAGAATAAGCTTCTGTTGTTTGCACCCACCCTGCCTCTGTTCATCATGGTAGCAGCTCTGGGAAACCACCGCAGCCCTGGAGGGAAGTGTTAGCAACTCAGGAAGCCTCAGCATCCTGGGCTCCCCTCTCAGGCGGGGTCCATCATGGCCTCTGTCCTGGAACCCTAAAGTGCCACTCTTGGTGGGTAATGTTGGTGTCCGCTGGGTGGGGTCTGTTAACAGGTAATGTCTGACAGCTGCAGGTAAGGCGACGGCTCCCAGTCCGTGGTGGGTGGGCAGTGATGTCTTGTCCGGCAGTGAGGGCCAGGCAGTGCCGGGCATGTAGGAATAACAGTTTGCAGCCGGGTCACCGAGGGCATGGGACCTGAGCCTTCAGCTCCTGGTTCATTCCTGCAGCTTTTCACGGCCAGCAAGAGCCTCCGGGCCTGTCCCTGTGTCACCCGGGCCTGTCCTTGTGTCTTGTCTGAAGTCTGTCACAGCTGAGGGGTGTGGCCTTTACTTCACTCCCTGTAGCTTCTACCTTTGGGGTCGTGAGAACAGCAGGCGTGTCCCTCTGGAGTCTTGGGAACCCAGTCGTGGAGAAAGAAATGTCAAAATCAGACGGAGGAAAAGATGACCTTTATGAAGCTGGAGTGGAGACTTGGCTAAAACCTTGGACCCCCGTGGCTTCCGACTTTTCCAGTGGAGTAAAACAGGGAACCCCAAGGCAGGGACCCACATATGAGGAGCTGCTGAAGGCTTTGTCCCTACCTCCAGGGAGATCCAGCCAGTGGAAGTGAGACCTCTGCCATCTTGGTGGGCCGGTGCGCTTCAGGCAGAGCAGAGGGCGCGAAGGCGAGGGGTGTCTTCCCCAACTTTCACAGAGAGCAGAAATCGCTGATTTATGTGCTGGCAGGGACCCGGGAGTAGGAAAGGGGATGTCCCCTGGGTCACTGTTTCCAGCTCCAATAGCACAGAGAGGCCTGGAGGAGGCAGCGCCCCTGGGAGATCCATCTGCTCTGGCAAAATTCCCTCGTGGCCCTGACATGCAGCCAGGGCGGAGAGCACCTGCCCGGCGCCAACCCGGAGCCTGCTGGTGGGGTGAGCCTGCAGCGAGTGGGACAGAAAGACCTGTGTTCCTGTGCAAGAAGGAAGAGGTGGTTTTAAGGATTGGGGAGCAGCAGGGCGAGGGCAGGATAGATGGAGGTGAGGCAGAGAGATCACCAGGCCCCGAGAAGGAGCCTCCAGCTCCCCCAGCTCTGGAATGTTTCCTTGGAGCCTGCTCGTTCGTGTTGGGGATGCGACGTCTTAGTCCTGCACTTGGCAGAGAATGTTTTATGAATTTCAGAGATGATTCATTGAGCAGAAGCTGCTATCCAGACTCATAGGTGACCTGATGGCTTGTTAAGTGCGGTACTCAGGAAGGTGGTGCGGGCGAACGGCTGCACACATGGCCTCTGGAAGCCACATGCCTGAGCTCAAACCTTCTCGGTCCTGCTAGTGGTGCAGCCTGGGGCACATTGCTCATCTCACTGAGCCCATGGGCTCATCCAGAGAATGGGAACCGTCAAAAGGATGGCCCTGGCCTCACTGGTGAGTTGCTACCATTAAGAGCGATTAGATAACCGCACATGGGTATTCCTGGCATATACTAAGCCTTACAATAGCTGTGCAGAAGTTCATTGTGCCTGCTGTCACTTCCGGCCACGAGTCTTCTAGCTAGGTTGAGTCTGATGTTGGAGTGGGGTCCTGGAGACTTTTGGGGAACCTGGGACGGCAGTCTCTGTGTATTTACCTGGTGTTGACAGTCCCTGGTGAGGCTGACTTGGCTCATAGCCTTGGCAAGGGGAGGATGCCCTCCATGGTTGTGCTTAAAGGGACTAGGTAACTGGGTCCCAGTAGAAATGCCGAGTGAAATCCAGCCACGCCCATGGGCAGCTGTGCTTCTGAGTCTCCCTTCTGCTGGGAGAACAGATCAGGACCACCTTGAAAGTTAGGTGGAAGCTATGTGGGCCCTCCTCCCGGGCACCTCCCACCATATGTAACAGCAGCCCCATTCAAGTGCTCCCTGTGTGCCAGGCACAGTGCTGTGGGCCTTGTGGACTGTCTCACTCAGTTCTCATCCAGCCCCAGGGGAAGCCATCATTGGCATTTCCAGCTCAGAGGAGGAAAACGAGGCCCCCGAGACTGGGCAGCTTGTCCCAGCTCTGGCCGCTAGGGAGAGGCGCACTTGAGACTTGGCCTCAGGTCTCTCCGACTCTGAAGTTCCTGCTCTTGTGCCACATCAGAGCAGCCTAGCAGAGTGGCTGGGGGGAAGCTTGGGATGAGGCAGAGGAAGCTCCAAAGGCTGGGGCCAACCCCATGGCCTTGGACACTGGGGAGCACAGCACCAATCTCCCGAGCCCCGCTCTCACTGCTGTCAGATCAGATATCTGAGCCGCAGGTCTGTAATGCAATATCCTGTTTGCTGTTTGGCTCCTACATCCCTGGGGCCTGGTGATAGCGATCTGCTGCCTGAGGTGAGAGAAAAAGGATGGGAGGATGGTCTTAGCCTCACATTCTGATATGAAGGAAATGAAAGACAGGTTGGAATGAACAGGAGGGGCCGGGAGGGGGTCGGAGCTCTGCGTGCTGGGACCTTGTCGCCTTACTCGGTGTTCCTGCTGCCCTGTCACAGAGCTCAGGTTGGAAGCCACAGAGCGGGGACACAGGGGGATCCCAATGTGCAAGGCTCTGGAAGGCGTGAGGGCTGCAGTGATTCCTGAAGGGCTGACGGTGTTGGCTAATGAGAACATCAGAGAGGCTCGCAGGAGACCCAGTGCAGGGAGGCAGCTTGGGTAACCACGGACCCTCTGTTACTGAAAACATTCAGGGGATGATGCATCTCCAGGAGGTTATGGAGGGAATTCGGTACCAAGAGGAAAGTTGGCCCAGATGAGCCTTAACATCCTTCCCAAGTCTGAGAGCCATGATTCTGGAATTGCATAAAGATTCACTGGGAATGGGACGTCTGATGAAAATCACCCAAACACTGGACTTCCAAGGCGCCCGCAAAGAAACCCCACATCCCCCACAGACTCCCAGTGCAAAAGAAGCACGAAACCTAATCTAAAATCTAACCACAAGGTTAGGAGGTGAAGCAAAGAGATGTCCAGTGGGACACCAGCTTCAGAGCATTGTAGTGCCCCATCCTCTCTTTGAAGCAGGATCTCTGAGGATCAGCTACAGTGGGACCGGCAGTGGCCACACTCACTCCATCATCTCAGGCAATATCATAGCTCAAGCCTGGGTCAATGCTGTGTACATTTATGATGAATTGCGTAGGTTTTTAAGACAACTTAGCAGAATATAAAGAAGCCTTCTCACAGGTACTTGATGCCAGTATATTACCGTGATAGCCACATTTTATAAGACTTAAGGGGAGGAATACTATCAACTGAGAATGGGTAAATCACCTTGATGTTTGTATTGTTAAGTATTAGCTGCTATGATAAATAAGCCCCAAATGTAAATAATGACTCAACTCTGAGAGACGTTGACTGCTCATATTTGTAAACCTAAAACAGATGCTACCTGTCATCCCAGGCTTTCCTCTGGGTGGTGACTTGGGTATCCAGACCCTTCCATCCTGTGGCTCCACCAATGTCCTCCCAGACCTCCATGCCCATCTAGGTGGCTGGTCTTGGAAGATCTCATGGTGAGAGATTGTGTGTACCTCAAAGTGGCACAGATGGTTTCTGGGAACTTTCTGTTGGGCAGAACTTGGTGACTTGGCCACACAGCTGTAATGGAGGCTGGAAAATGTGGCCTGCTGTAGACTCAAAAAGGAGACGAAAGGAAGATGGGTTTGGTGAAAAGCTGGCTCATTGTTGACACATCTCTTCAGGGCTTGTGATACTCCTGGGAGGCTCTTATGTTTTTTCAAGAGGTGTTCACTGAGCACTGATTTCAATATTGACAGAAGCTAAGAAGTGCCCCAGGCAGACCTATGGGTGTTCACAAGGAGCTAAAGGAGAAGAAGGATTCAAAAGCAAGCACGTTATTAGCAGGGTCATTGGGATAGTGGTGTTTTCTAAAACTCTCAGAGACACAGGCTAAGACTAACGTCAGAGAAGTCTGGAGACACAAGCCAAGGCAGACCAAGGTCATCTGGATTTTATTCCTGTAAGTTCTTGGTAGCTTTCAATCTTTCATCTGAGGATAATGAAGGATGCTGACTTTACTAGGCATCTTGAATCTTTCCTCTATGAGCAGATGAATTAAAATTTTATAGATCTCATATAGCAACTAGGGGAAAGGCAGAAAGCCTTCCAAGGTAGGGCAAGCAGAGGTCATTGCCGGTGGCTGTGCTGATAGGGAACGATGTGTGTCGTAACCTTCCCGATGCAAAAGGGCAGGAGAGGCAATACTGCTCCATTCTGTAGTCATGATGCCACGAGCATAATGCTATAAGGGAGCCTAGCCTTCTTCCCCAGTTTTAATTACAGAGACCCTCATCAGCATTGGAAGACCACCCTTGGTGACACTGATGTCCCTGGAGATAATTCAGAACCAGACCATCTCAGCATTAAAAGAAATCTTGTTAAGACACAGGTCCCAACCTATGTTCATGACCTGAAGCTTGAATTTCCTCTTCACCATCATCTGAAGTGATCACTGATCCAAAAATGGAATTCCTCTAAGAATGGGAATGAATGCCCCTGAAGCCACCCTATTCTGCCTTGGGCCAAGGATGCTGGAACATTCTCTGAGTTGGAATTCATCTCTTTGGAAATCCTCTTTCATTTCTATTTCTGGTTGAGAACTGTAATGTTCCACTTGTATTCCTTCCACATAAGCAACTTTTGCAGTACCTAGGCTGTCCAGACAATTGACTTTCCAACTCATGGCTGTCAAGAGCAGAAACAAAGCGATGGGACGTCATGCTGGGACGTCACGCGTGAGCTGGGCCAGCCGGAACACGTGGCCTTCAGTCTCCTCTGAAGGTCCAGCAGTCTCGTGACTCTGTGCCCAGGAATGAAGCCCCTGGCTGTCCCCGGCTCATCTGTGACTACTGGAACATGCATCGTAGCACCTGGGAGAATCAGGAGGGGTCCAATGGGGCTCGGCAATTTGAGGTCACCTGTTAAAGGGTCTTCTCTCTCCTCCAGGGACTTCGTGAAAGCCTTCATCCAGTTTAAGAAGCCCATTGTGGTGGCCATCAATGGGCCAGCCCTGGGTCTGGGCGCTTCCATTCTGCCCCTCTGTGACATCGTGTGGGCCAGTGAGAAGGCCTGGTTTCAGACGCCCTACGCCACCATCCGCCTCACGCCAGCCGGCTGCTCCTCCTACACCTTCCCGCAGATCCTGGGCGTGGCATTGGTAAGCCCCCCTTTCCCCCGAGAGACTCCCTCTCTGAGATGCATGCATTTGAGCCCTGTCATGGGTTTAGGATATGACTTCATATGGGCTTTTATCAGGGAGCAGAATCCATCTCAGTTTCCTCTGCTGCCCCAGGCTGGTTTTAGGGCCTCCAAACTGGATGGAGTAGCCAAGCCTGGGAAGACAGTGATGACCACTTACTGGACACCTAGTGCATGCCAGGCACTGCACACACATCATCCAGCCATTCCTCCCTCTGTCCAGTAAGTCTGTGCCCTCGGGTGTGCTGTGTGCTCTAATCGGCACTGTACAATCTCAGGAGTCTGCACACTTGCTTTTGCCCATGCTGACCAGGTGTCTTCCATCTGGCAGAGCAACCTTTCCTTCCAGTGAAGGGGAGAAGAGAGCACCCACAGAACCACCCAGGAGGTCTCTGGGTCAGGCCTTTGGGGCCTCTTCGTTGCACTTGAACATCATTGGCTGCTACTCCATTATGCGGCCACACCCACCTGCAGGGGAGGCTGGGAAATGTGGTCCAGACACATGTAATCTCCACCCACCCAGAACCTGTTGAGATCTCCATCTTACAGGTGGCGAGTTAAACTCAGAGGAGTTAAGGAATTGCCGTAGCACCAGGTTGGCTCGCAGGCAGGGCTTGTGCCGAGGGAGGCTGCAGTCAGTCTGCACCACAGTAAATGTGGGCAGGGCGTAGTGCTAGCAGCACATGTAGAAAGCATCTACTGTGTGCCAGGGCTATGCCCAGCCGGGCAAGGAGGACAGCTGGTATTCCTGCTGGACAGATGCACAAATGGAGGCTCAGAGGGGCTGAGGGGCTGTTGAAGTCACACAGTGGGATGGCAGTTGTGAGATTGGGACACCAAGTGTCTGGTTTCACAGTCTGTGCTCTTAACTCAGCCTGTCCCACAGCAGACCCCATCTCTGCGGAGCAAGATTGAGATTAGTGCTGTCAGGGCAGGAAGGGCTCAGAAAGTGAAGTTGCCCGAACAGGTGACAGGCGGCTTTGTGCTGCATCCTGGCATGGCTCACAGATCCTCCCTGCAGGTGCCCTAGACCAGCCTCTGCTGACATTAGCGACCGACTGACCTCAGTCTGATGGGTGCATCCTCATCCCAGGACCTTAGGAGGTCCCCTGCCTGCTGTCCGGGCTTTTTCAGCCATTCCCTCCAGTCCTTGCTGAGAACCTATAAGGTGTCTGCTCTCCACGGCCCACCCAGCGTACAGGGAGTCGAATCCTGCTCTGACTCTGTGGCCTGCTCGCCATCCTTGCATGAGGAGCACTTTTCCGAGGAGCAACCTTTGGATGTGACCTCACAGTCCAGGCAGAGGGGACACGTGTGGAAGGACTGAGCAGTGATGGGTTATGCAGACCTTGAGATGAAAGATGGTGCCTTGAGCCCCGCACAGCGGAAGGCCATGGGGCTTCAGTGCCTGTCACTACCATCACGGGAGACCTTCACACTGCCCAGGAAGCACAGTCTCATCCACAAGACCAGCCCCGGCCCCAGAGAGGCCGAGTACCTGCCTCCAAGGTTCTGGAGAACTGCTCTGTCTGTTCCATTGTTGCACCCCCCTATGGGGAGCTGTTCCTGTTTGGAATGGACTCTGGGGTCTTCCTTTAACTTCTCCATGCCTTTGGAAGGTGCAGGCCACCTTTGCCAGAATTCCGGCCCCATTATCTGAGAACACAGTCTTGGTTCTGTGGTCCCTTGCATCTAGCGAGAGCTTGGGAATCCTTTTGGTGAGGGAGGACAGGGTTTTTACACTTTTCCTTTCTTTCTTCTTCTTTCTTCTCTCCCTTTGTGCTTCCATCTCTCGTTGATTTTTCACCAGTGAGGGGCTGTGGGCTTCTTTTATCACCTCCACTCTTAGCCACTTTCCCATAGCTGAGACAAAATACCCAGTGCGCATGACTTCATGACTTCAGTGAAGAGAGGTTTATTTTGGTCCATGGTTTCAGTCCAGGATCAGCTGATTCTGAGGTAGAGATTTGATGGTAGAGGCGCATGGTGGAGGAAAAGGTGCTCAACTTATGGTGGCCAGGAAATGGGAAGAGAAAGGTAACGGGAGCATCCCAGGGATGAGAATAGACCATCTGAGCCCACGCCACCAGCAAACCACCCCCAACCAGGGCCACAACCTAACGGCACATTCATCTGTTGGACTAATCAGTGGATAAATCCACAGATACACGTATATCATGCCCGTAATCCAGTTCCTTCCCCGCACATGGACTCGTGGGGAACATTTTAGATCTAAGCCATAAGCTTTGGTGCCCACCATAGAGGGGCTGACAAGCATTATCCCTTCTGCTTCCTTAATATTCTTCCTTGCTCCTTTTAAAAATGGTGCCACTGACTGCAGTAATGGTAGTCATCCTTCCGTCCCCAAGTCCAGTCCCATTGTAATTATCCCCTCGGTCCATCCTGCCTCCACTGGGGGCTCAGGCTGTCCCTAGGCCTCTCTAGTGGAGAAAATTCTCTTTTGGGAGAATATGGAAGCTTCATGCAGTTCAGTGACTTACTCAGAGTCGAGCATTAGTGGCCTATTCTGTTTTGTGGTTTTCTCAGCCCTAGAGTAGGTGGTTAGTTTTATCGGTCCTCACCAATGGCGTTCTGCCCTCACCTGGCCCCCCAAGAGTCCTGTTCTTGGGCTTCTAGGTAACACCCTAAGTTCTCCCTTCAAAGAGGATGTGGAAGGACACTGTTGGAGAAGGGTTCCTGTGGGACCCATGGCCTTGCCCCGTGTCTCACACCTCCCTAGCAGGAGGTCAGGGTGGATCTGAACCTAGACTTGTCAGAGCAGAGGTGGCTCCTACAGCTCCTCCCAACGAGCCTTGCAACTTCCTCAGAGGGTGCGGAGATACCGTTCTGTCTCACTGACCACCGGCCCAGAAATGCCTGACACAAAAATATTAAAAGTGTGCAGCATAATCTCTGCTTCCCTCTCCCTCTCTTACCTTACCATCTCTGAACCTCCACGAACATTGCTGATGGAGAGATGCTCTTCTTGCTGACTGATTCTGTGAGGCACCATCCACTGAGTCGAGACCAAGGAGTTTCTAAACAAGTATCCTGACTGACTCTTGTCTTCAGACCTCCACCCAGACATAGGCTAGAGACGACCAGCCTAACACTCCTCTCTACTCTGGCCAGAAAAAGACTGTCTCTTAGGTCATCATGACCTATGAGTGACAGCCAGCACAAAACTGGGGGGTGGGGGGATGTAGAGGGCAGAGCCTCTGCATTTGCACACGGACCCAAGAGCAACCTGTATGGGGTAGGGTGAGCAGAGCAAAGCAGGGAGAAGTGGGTGGACAGTCTGCAGGCAGGGGTGGTGCTGTCTGCCCAGAGAAGGAATGGGGTTCATCCCAAAGCAGATACAGACCTTGTCACAGCCATGACCTGCGCCCTAATTAGTGTGAGAGTCACCTGAGTTTCTGCTGGTTCTGCCACTGGCTCTGTCTGTGCCTAGAACCATTGTCATGGTTCCCCCTAGATGAGTTGTCTTAGTCAGCTTTTTGTCATTGTAACGAAACACTGGAGCAAAGGTTTATTTGGGCTCACAACTGTGGGGGGTCCAGTCCATGGTCTGTGGACCCTGTTACTTCTGGGCCTGTGTCGAGGTAGTACCTCATGATGGCAGAAAGCTGGTCACCTCATGGTGGCCAGGAAGTGAAAGACAGGGCAGGGAGAGGGTTGGAAGATCATGGTCCTCTAATCCCCTTTGAGGTCAGAACCCCAGGGACCTGAAAACCCTCACCTCTTAAGGTTCTACCCCCTCCTGTGGGCACCAAGCTGGGTACCCAGCCTTAAATACACAGGCCTTCAGGGGACACTTACGATGCAAACTCCAGCACCAGGCATGATGGCTGTGAACTGCAGAGCACGGGGAATCCTCTGGAGCAGGGCAGAGGCAGCCAGGTTAGGAGAACCTGAGGGTATGCTTCCTGCCCTTCGGTGCCTTGCCCAGCCCTGGGCCACTGAAGAGACGCAATGCTCCTTTCTGGATTTGCATTGCCCACAATGGAAATTTTTAACTGGATGCATTCATTCATTCATTCACTCATTCATTCATTCTGTTGTGGTCCTGGGGATTGAACCCAGGGCCTTCACACTGAGCTCCTTCCCTAGTTTTTTTTTTTTTTTAATTTTGAGAAAGAACGTTGCTAAGTTGCCCAAGGTGGTCTCAGACTTGTGATTCTCCTGCCTCAGCCTTCCAAGCTTAATTTGAAAAGAAACAAATCAGAGAAAAAATGAACTTAATTGTTCCCTAACCAAAAAGTTCAGAAGTTGGGGGAAACAGGGTCTGGGAACTCTAATAGCTCCTCTCCTCTCCTCTCCTCCCCTCTCCTCTCCTCTCCTCTCCTCTCCTCCCCTCTCCTCTCCTCTCCTCTCCTCTCCTCTCCTGTCCTGTCCTGTTCTGTCCTCCCATCCCCTCTCCCATCCCCTCTCCCATCCCTTCCCTTTCCCTCGCTTCCCTCCCCTTCCGTCCCCTCCCCTCTATCACCTTTCTCTTACCCCCATCATCTGTGCGTGGGAACCTCTCAGGAGAGCTTTGTTTTGTAGCCCAGCTCATCCCTCATTCCTGGACTGATGTCCGTCTGGGGTCCTGGCACTGGCATGTGTCCACCCTCGGGTCTGCTCACCCTTCATCTGCCAGCAGAAGTGGAAGCAGCACTGGGCATACAGGGCCACAGTGCATGTGTGACTTATTTTAAGAATGTAACGAGAGCAGTGGCCCCTCTGCTTGGAAAACTGAATGCAGCTTACACACGTAATATCTCCAAACCCAGGCTGTGAATCCTGCCTCATGGAGCAGTTGTGCCCAGCTAGGCTGGTACTCCCTCAGGGACATGGGAGGATCTCTACACCCTCAGCCCTTCCCTGCCTTTTTATTCTTTCAGGCCAACGAGATGCTGTTTTGCGGTCGCAAGCTCACCGCCCAGGAGGCATGCAGCAGAGGCCTCGTGTCGCAGGTCTTCTGGCCCACCACGTTCAGCCAGGAGGTCATGCTGCGGGTCAAGGAGATGGCGTCATGCAGTGCCGTGGTAAGTTCCCATATGTCCGTGCGCCAGTCCTTCATGTAGATCTGTCTCACAGATGAGGACAGCCAGGCTCACAGGGACTGACTGGTGTGCAGGAGGTTGCCTGAGGAGTAGGTGAGAGGCCCTGCTGGGTCACAGATGCTGTTTCCTGGTGTGCACTTAGGTAGGGGGATGGAGGCTCAGCATTCATGGCTGTTCTCCCCAACCCAAGAGAAGAGCCTTACAGCCTGGTGTAGAATGTGCTGCTTTAAGAGAAAGTCCAACACACACACACACACACACACACACACACACACTACAAAAGCACTAAACACCTACATCTTTCTCTGTGTGTCTGTTGTGTAATTTTTATTAGTGCATGTTCCCAGTACACAGTGATTGCATTCTTCATGGGGAGTTGGTTCATGTGCATAACACACTTCAATTCTATGTCCCTTGCCTTCTCCTTCCCCACTGCCCTCTCCATCTCTTGGTCCCTGTCTTGATTACCTTTCTCTCATGCTGAGACAAAATACCTGACATCCAAAATTAAGGAAGGAAAGATTTATTCAGCTCACGGTCTGTGGAGATTTTAGTCCATACTTGGCTGGCTCCAAGGCCGAGTGGCACATGGCAGAGGGCAACAGAAAATAACAAAGGCAGCAAGAGCAAAAAGGGAGGAGCAGCAGCAGCAAACAATCCTTTCTTTCCCTCCCTTATATTGTATGCAGGCTACACACCTGCTATACCAAGCGCAGGGTGAGTGTAGCACTCACACCCATAATCCTGTTGGACCACAAGTCAATCAAAAATCTAGAAGCCCGCCTCATAACTGCCTGAGACTTTGGGGGGACATCCAGATGCAAACCATAACAGTGCCTTTTCCATTTGCAAAAGATCTCTCTCCCTGCTCTCTATTCCTTATCTTTTATTTTGCTCAAAGAAAAGAGAAGCTTGGGCAAATAAAAGACAAGGGTAGGAACCAGCCTAGACGTGACCGGACCCGGGCACACTGTCCCTGTATTTCATTTCTTCTGCCCACTGAGGGCTTGGCATGTCTAACAGTCGCTGTTTGACTCTGAAGACGCATTGAAAAATAGATGAATAACACCTCTACAGAGACGCCAGTTTTTAATTAAGTGTCGATTTTAATCTCATGACCCTCACTGTGAGCACAGGAGGGGAATGCCCTGTGAGATGGGGGAAGGAAAGGCTGGTGCTGGCGCCAAGGACCAGCTCCAGAGCTGATACATGGGCCCAAGCTTTGCACATCCTGAATCAAGGGGCCATGGGCTGGGCTGGTAGGACCTGACCCATGACCTGTGATCCTTCTCCTTCTGCCTGCACCCACCCGATTGCTGTGATTCTCCTGGTTGGCCTGGCACCTGCTGGGTGCCCACCCCCTTCCCTGAGAGCTGAATAATAGCAGTAATGATGGGCCCCATGCCCGGGTGACAGCTACACCCCCTGCCAATCTTAGATGGGTGTTTTCCCCTTCCCAATGATTAGCATGACCAGTTCATCCTGGAAAGTCTGGCATCCAGGGAAACTCCACTATCCTGAGCAAATAGGTGTGCTCCATCACCCCAAGTCAGCTTTGCCGAGGGACAGGCAGAAATTGGAGTGGAGGACACAGCATGCTGCGGGCAGGATTGGGTGGTGGGTACGTGGTGAGCACAGGCAGCCTCTGTCTGGCACAGGCCCAAGGTGGGCAGGGAGGCCTAGGAGGAAGGCACGAGGGGCCTGGCCTGCAGGGGAGCAGCTGCTGGAAGGACATTTGAGGGGACTCCCTCTTAGGGGAGGCCTGCCAACAGGGGACATCACAGGGAAATCCAAGACTCTGGGTGGTTTCCAAGAAAGGGCTGTACTCCAGGATAGGGAAGCACATGGCCTCTGGCAATTCCAGAGGCGGAGGGAGGCTTTCCAGCCCTTCCCCACCACCCCAACCTCCCCCCAGGCTCTTGCTGGGGAGTAGGGTTCTACCAGCCTCCCCACCTGGAGCACTCCTTTTGCTTTTTTCTGTTTGAAAGTGTTTTGGGACACTGTTAACTAAGCCTAGACCTCGGCTGAAGCCTGTGGAGGGCAGTGGAAGGCTGTGTAAAGGCCTCACTTCCGGCTGCATCTCTGTCGTTAGGAGGCAGCAGTGTGGCCGTGGGGATCAGCCAGGCCTGAGTCTCACTGATGTGCCAGCGTGGGGCAGCCCGGGGCGTGTCATCCTCTCCGGGGCGTGCCATCCCCTCCAGATCCTTCGTCTGTGATGGAGCGTAGAAAGGACGAACTTGTAGAGTAAGAGGAGGATGTGAAAGAATTCAGGAAAAAGACTTCTTGAGGAGCTTGTTGGTTAATGGTGATTGTAGTGGGATTGTTATTACCACTATTATCACTACTATTACTACTTAATACTGATTATTATTGCTCATTACTACCATTAGTATTAAGGGGAGCACTACGATTATTCATTACTGTGATGATTACTACCATTATTTCTATAATGATTATTGCTTAATACTATGATGCTGATGGCCATAATGCTATGATTGTTATTGCCTGTTTCTGCAATTATTATCACTATGGGTGCTGAAACTCTTTATTCTTATGGTTATCACTATGATTGCTGGTATTATTATTATCCATTACTATGATTATTGTTACTATGATTGGTATAATTGTTACCCATTCTCACAGTTATTAGTATGATGATTGCTATAATTATTATTACTCACTACTACAATCATTACTACCATTATTACTACTGTTCTTACTAATAAGCCTAGAAGGGCATTGCTGTTGAGTAGGTCGTATGTATACTTGGAAAACCATTAGTTCATTTTACTACCTCTTTCCACGCTCCCCAAGACCCTTGAGTTAATGCCACTGTGCAGACTAATCATGAAAATGAATCTATTCACGGCATCAGAAAGTTAAAGCAGTGCTTTGCGAACTTTTTGATGACACCCTCAGAAGATGGCACTGAGATTATTTCACTGTGGGTAAAAGACACGGTTCTGTGGTTAAGGTACCGTGGGCTCCCAGCGTTCCTGGGGCGGAGAACTCAACATTTTCCCCAGCTGGACTCCACCTGAGGTAATGCTGGAATATGGAACCTGTGGGCTAGGCTAAGGGAAGAAGTGACCCTGCACTGACATCACAAAGGGGCCCTTTGCCTCTGGACTGCGTGCATGGTCCCTGGGCTGCCTAACCAGGCCTGTGCATTTCCCTGCAGGTGTTAGAGGAGTCCAAATGCCTGGTGCGCAGCTTCCTGAAGTCGGTGCTGGAGGATGTGAACGAGAAGGAGTGCGTTATGCTCAAGCAGCTCTGGAGCTCCTCCAAAGGCCTGGACTCCCTGTTCAGCTATCTGCAGGACAAGATCTATGAAGTCTGAAGCCCGCGCAAGGACTCCTGACTGTACCTCTGCCTGTGTTCCGGCTGCCAGAGCCCAGCATCTGCCTGGCCAAGGAGTTCTTCCTGGTGTCTCTGTGCACCTAGGGTTGTGTCCATCTCCTTGTGTCCTTTGGTTGTTCCTCATTGGTTTGATTTTGTGTGATGGTGGGAAACACAGCACACCTGGCCTCCCCCATGTCCCACCCCACGGAGCTCTCGAGGGCTCTGCCTTCCCAGTGCTCTGCCAGGTCCTGCCGTCCTTCCCCATTTGCTGAAATGCACCATTGTGGTCCAGGAAGGGGAGACCACTCTCCCCCACCCTTCCGACTCAGGCTGTGTCTACACAGTGCCTCTGACTTGGAGATGAGGCCAGCATGGTTCGCTCTGGTTGATCTATCCTAGTGAATTCACAGACCCATGAGCGAGCGATAGTGTAGACCTGGCTTCCGTCTCCTCTCCGATGCAGTCTGTGTGACTATTAGGGCTTGGTCTTAAAATCCAACTGAGTGATTTACAAACCCAGATATTGTACATTTAGAAATGTTTTGTTAAATATATATTTTTAAAACAATGTAAGTGGAAATTCTGATAATTTATGTATACTATATGTAAAGCTAGTTTTGCAAAAAAGAGAAACCATGAACTACTAGGAAAACGTTTTCTTTTCTTTAATAGGATTTATTTTATTTATTTATTTCTGTTTATATATTATGATGTCTGTTGTTCACACAGATCTTATTTTCATACTGCCCTGGACCAAATACCGTTCAAGGTTCATGCTGTTTGGTGCATTCTAGCAATGAAGCATGTAGAAGTAAAACTCAGAGGGATGAGAACAAAAGGATTTCTGTGGATAAAGGAATAGCTCTGCATCAGACCCTCTTTGTGTAGCTGTGGTAACATAATACCAGTTCTTTAGTCTTGTCCGTAGGAAAAATCACGGAAGGAGTTTCTCTTCATTCTCTGTCTTTAAAGAGATAAAGGGCTCTCAGCTTAAATGGTCCCCAGACAGACCTAGTTCCTGCTCTTTGAATATCAGGAACAGGTGAGAACAGGCCTTACAACAGGCCCTACATGGTAGCCTATGGCCCACCGTGAGACTTTTCTTTGTGCAAATGACTGAACTTGGATTTCAGAGACCATTTTTTCCTGTGCATGTTGGCCGCCGGTTTTGGCTTTCCAGGGAAGTGGGGAAGGGTTCCCATCTGCTGAGCGGCCTCTACAGTCTGAGTCTTCTTGCCTCCAGAAGCTTGAATGACCCATCTTTAGAAGTGGCCCCCTGCCTTCTGTTCAGATTCTAGTCTGGGGCAGTTATTTTCAGTATCTACAGGAACGGTATCCAGATTCTCATTGGAAATGGAAGAGGATGTTTAGAAATTCATTTCAATCAACATCCACCTTTGTTTCTTGCTAAAAGGACCAGAAATGTCTTAGCTTTGGGAGTATCCTTAACTTCAAACCCTTGAATAGTTTGTGGATCTGTAATGACTAAGGTAGGGAGGTGAAACTGTCTCTGAGGTAGAACTCATGCTGTTACTTTGTAAGTTCAGGGTGTAACAGGAGGTGTTTTCCGACAGTGGTTTTGGCTGTTTGCATAAAGTCAGTTGAATAAGGGAGTTCCACAGTTAGGCAAAAGTTAGTGAAGTTTCTCTGCTACAGTGTGGACTGAACCACTGGATTTTTCACTTTCTGGACAGTTATTTTGACAGTATGTAAGTGAAATCCATGTAACTTATAGCAAATCTATCTGGAATGAAAAATGCCAGACCCATGGTTTGTTAAGGTTTACCCTAAGAGCATTCTCTAGGTAATGCTCTTTTTTTAAAAAATCTTGTACCCCAGTGCCCTCTCTCCACCTATAGGAAGCTTTTCTACTCTCTACCTTCCTTTTCTCCCCAACCCCAAGTCCCTGTCCTGTATCTCTCTCTCCCTAGAACCTGGGCAGGTCTTTGAGGAACTGTCATTGGGCTTGGCAGCCCATCCCCGAATTCCTTTGGGATTGGAAGAACAGCTATGGCTGGGAAGTTGAGAGTATGTCTCCTGAGTCCAGGACTCTTCTGCAAGTCTGTTCCTCTCCATCTACAGACTCCCCTCCCTTCTGCCCCTATCCTGATTATGCTTCAAACCGTGTCCTATAGTGGAGCCATCGGAGTGAGCAGCCCTCTCCCAGCGGTCTTTCTACAGAACTCTTGTTAAGATACTCATACCTCCTCAAAGTTTGGGAGTTCCAGCATAATGCAGATGTTATACCTATGTCTCTTCCGCCTCAGAAATAAGGTATAGAGGTAAAAGACATCACCATTCCTTGCTAAGAATAAAATTGTATAACTATGAGAAGGAAGCAGAGTATTTGAAATATTATTCTTATTTGGTATAGATGAAACTAGAAAATGGTCACTCAGAAGCATGAAATATATATTTTCCCCATATGAAGTTTAGTATGAGGATGGAAAAATAATAATTACGATACACTTTGAACAATGCAACTTTATCTCTGAATAGCCACATTTAAAAATAGCCTTGACTAAGTGCTGAATTGCATTTCCCATTATGAATGGCTAGTTTCAGAACCTTTAAAAAAACTTTTGAGAAGTTTGTAAAGTTTTTTTAATTTTGAATTTAGTCATATTCACGAGATTTTTCCAATCAAGTTTCTGTGGAAATTTTTTTAACAAAGAGAAACAAATAGAAACATCTGCAAATCTTCCTAAGTGGATATTTAAAATGCAGAATTGCTCCTCTTCTGTGTTTCTGTGTTCAGATACTTAGATTTGTTGTATATATTAGTCTAGACATTCACTAATATACACAGTATTTAAGACTCTAAATGAGATTTCTTAAGTATTTTATTTTATTCTCTGTAAATGGTTTTGTAAAATCTTTAAAAATCTACACTTTGCCTTTGTAGATACATCTTTGAGGGTTGTCTTGCATGTATATTTTTGTTGTAGATAAGTGTTGCTTAGTTCTTTCTGCAAATTTTGGTTGAAATGCTTATAGACTTTAATACAGTATATATTTTCAAAATATAAACTTTTATATTTCTGTGGTAAGTTAGGATATGCGTTTTAGGCAATCTTTTCCATTAATCTCACTTGTTCTTTCAAACAACTAAGCATACTGGTTTGGTGCCAATATTTTTATTTTGTTCTTTATGTTTTTAAAATCTACTGCTCTTCTATTGTTAGAGAGCAAGTTCACTTTGTTTTTCTAGAAGTAACTTGAGTTTGAAGTATCATTTGAAAATGTATTAAATTTGTGACTAAGCCTTACCATTAGGATCAGTAAACTTTCCAACCTTTGCAACTACGTATGTAGTTTAAGATCTCTGCATAAATTCTCACAGTGTCGCAGTTGATGGAGTTTGTGAACAGAGCCTTAAGCTTGTTGCAAAAATAATAATAAAAGGGTAATACGGGTTGTTTCCTCCATGTAAGCCATGTTGATAGGCTCAGTGTAGTCTGTCAATCGTGGCTAAATCTGAAGAGTTTGGTTGAGTTCTTGGCGGCAGGGACCAGATAGATACTTTGGTGATTGTCTTTGGCCGTAAGGTTGGCCCAAGGACAGGTGTTCTGGAGCCACTTTCATACTGTTCACCTGGTTTAGACGTGGTCATGGGAGGGCTCTGGTTCATCATTTATTCTAAACAAATGGCACTTCCTGCCCCTGCCCCTGGTTGTGGACTCCGGGTTCCGTGTGGATGGCCTGAGAAGTCCAGTGTGGCTGAGGTCAGTGCTCCTTGAGAACTGTTAACAAAGTTTACATACGAGTCGTACCGTGTAGACAATCTGAAGTCGGTTTTACATAATCAGCATTCCCATGTGTCTTCAGTGTCCCCTCAGTAACTCTGTGTGTCAAGCCATACTGATTTGGAGTTTCACAGGACTAAAGCAGACGGGATGCCAAACCTGCTCATCAACTGAGTCTGTCTCTCCAGCGCCATCTCAATGGAGAAAAGTCAATCATAGGGGTGATGAACAGGGAGGCTAGTGTGTTTGGGATCTAATAAAACCAGCTAGAATTTGGCCTTAATGTAAAAATAATTACAATTCCTTTTGCTTGGCCATAATCAAGTATTACCAATTTATCTTCCCTACTAACACCTGTGATCTAAGATTTTGAGTCCCTGGTTATGGTATGGCTGAAGTCCTTTGGTTCATCTTTGATAGGTGTCCCAAAGGTCGTCTTATCAACCACTAAGATGGAGATTGGCAAATTTGCTTCCTGTTTTTGTAATGTGTATGACAGTCAGAAAAGCCAGGATCTGGTATTAAGCTTCAGCTCTGATGTCTCTATGGCTTGACCTCACTTCACTGGCCCAACATCTGGCTGATGCCAGAGCTCATTAAGTTAACTTTGGGAAGTTCAGAAGGTGTAGAGTTTTCCGTCTAGTATTTAATTTGTCCCTGTGCTATTAGTCTCAGCTTGAAGTCATTTGCCGATGTCTGCATTGACAGGATTCTGAAAATATTGCCTTTCATAAAACCAAGGACCAAAGAATTCCATTATTCCAACAAAGCACGAGTTTTATAGATTTTAGGCACGTCCAGATGGAGAAATGCGAGCTTGATGGCACAGAGAGACCACTTAGTCCCCCGATCCTCAGGCTCCCCCTGGCTGGCCAGACACAGGGACTCATCACATTGAGAAGGCTCTGAAAGAGGAGTTTCTAAGGTTGAAACTTACTATCTCAGGTGGTGTTTCGCTATATAGTCCTCATTTTGATTCATATCATAAAAAGTGGCACTCTGGCGTTTCTCTGGGTTTATCTGATCAGTGTAGATGCCTCTGTTTGCGTATGAGTCTCTGATGTTAGTTTTGTAGCTGTGTCTATGCTGAGCAGCAGAGTCCTACAACTGCCAGATTTCTACCACTTCAGTTCTTTATCAACCCATTCCAGTTCTGGTTTGGCAGGGAGTGGGGATCTTCCTCAGTTCTCACACCAGGTGATGCACCATTCTCATTCATGAAGAAATCATTGATCCATTAATCAGTTGAGAAATGACAGATGTTGAAAAAGTGCTATTCTATTGGTAAGGCTTATTACCAAACTTCTTATAACAAAGCAGGCTACCAAAAACTTACCCAGCCCACCCTAAGAGTGTTTGGGTTGGGTCATGGGTGTAGCATACACACCAAAATCTACGAGACCTTTGCAAATTAGGCTACTTATTTTATTTTGCCAGATTATCATGGGAGAGTCTTTAACTAGTTCTGAACATTTGTAAGTATGAGTACTTCATAGAGATATAAAGCAGGTACAGCGGACCCATCCTCACCATGTTGTAAATATTTCCTGAAACTGGGTGCAGTCCCGAGGGATAATAACCTTCTGATTTATCAAATGCTGACTGTCTAGAGCAAATTGTACACTCTCTTTGTGAATGGTCCTGTAACGTGTATGAACACATTTCTGGGTGCCTTAGAAGTTGTATTTTTCATGTGTGCTAATATGCAGTATTTATACATTGTGAGAAGCTGCTTTGAATAAAAAGGTTGAAACTTCGTCTCCATTTGCGTGTGTTTCCCCCTTTTGCAGCCCGGATATAAAGTTCATGAATAAGTTCTATGGTTTCTAAACAGAGATGTTTTAGGCTACCCTGACAGCTGAGAGCTGAGATTTCTGGCTTGTGTCTGGTTTCCTGGAAGCCCAGGCACTGAGCTGACCTGAGGCTTCAGATATTCAGGAAGGCAGTCACAGAGCAGGGTAGGGATGCTGGTGCCACAGGACCTAACAAAGCTGTGCAGCGTCATTTTTTCAGTGGGCTAAACCAACATGTACCCTTCCCTGACATCATGTGTCTTTTATAATGAAGGCCTCTGGCTTCATTAGGGATGAACCTCCACAGAAGTTGATTTTGTGCATTCCATACTGCAGTGCATGGCTAAAGTACTTGTCCCTATGGATAAAGCCCTCACATATGTGATCTCATTGGTTATCTCATCACACCATGACTCTCAGGAGGGGCACACTGACGAGAATACCTGGCTTCCAGGGCCTGGCCACACATGCATTGTGGGGCTGCAGAAAGGAGAAAGAGGAAATCTCCCGGTTTTGTAGTAAGAGAATTTTGGGAAAAGGGACTTACATGAGATCATCTGTCCATCTGTCTATCTGTCCATGTGTGCCTCTCCATCCATCCATGCATCATCCGTGTATTTATGTGTCTGTGAATATATCCATCCATCCGTCCACCCACCCATCTGTGCATGTATCTGTGCACCCACCCACCCCAATCATCCTTCTACCCGTTCATTCCATCTTCCTTCTGTCTGGTAGCCATTGCTGGGCCCTCCCTCTGCCTTGGGAGCTTCATGGGTGCTGGGGTGCGTTACTCAGTCCCTGCCTAAAGGAGCTTGGAGTCTGGATTACTCTGTCCCTACCTAAAAGAGTTAGGGAGAAAGGTGGATCCTCAGCAGAGAGCTCCAGAGAGCTGTTCTCACAGTCATGCCCGCAGCACCCTTAGCGCCAAGAAGATGGTGTGACACTCATCATTCACAGCCCATCTCGTTTCCTTCAGTGTGTGTGGGCCAGACTGCGAGGGAGACCCGAGTTCTCCTCGTGGCCTTCCTTTTGCTTTCTGCTCTTGATGTCATCATGGCCATTATCATCGTTGTCATCATCCTTTCCAGTGCTGATTTGTCTCTGCTTCAAGGTCATGACTCCATCCTAGGTGGGTGGCCCAGGTCAACCTGGACAGTTCTTTACCTCTAGCTTCTCATGGTCCTTCCTGCAGATTGGATAAGGCCTTGTGCAGGCTCAGGATATAGCATCTGTAAGACAAATGCTGAATGTTTAAACTGTCCCTGCTTTGATGGGGCACTGTGCTGGAAGAGGAAAGTAGAAAACAGAGGAATGCGGTGAGACACCCATCTGGTCAGAAATGTCAACTATTAAATGAATACCAGTGTACCGGATAAGCAGTGACGGAGTGTATCACACAAGTGATTTCATCCTGCACTCAGGCTCCCTTTAGGTCCGTTTTTTGGGGGGAGGGCAGTCCTTCCCGATCCCAGATGAGGTCCTGGTGGATTTCAGGACCTTTTGGTCACTCATAGGCAGCACGTACTTCCTACCAGTCCTCAGCCATCGCCGGAGTGCAGTTAACAACCGTGATTGCCAACTCCGTTCGGTACTAAGTCTTCTCTCAACCTCACTTGCTCTGCTGCTTTTCGGTTGGACGGGAGAGCAGGAGAGATCTTTTGTGACTGGTGCTGTTGTCAGATGGGGCTTTCATTCTCCCGGCCTCATTGACGTTTCTGCCTCTCTCAGGGAATTTTTCGGGTTCCTTGGCAACTCCCTCTTTTGACTGTGGGCAGTCTACTGTCACGGCCAGACAAACTCTGTATAGTAACTGGCCTCTTAATCAGCCCCTGTGAATCTGGTGGTCCACTACTACCTCTCCCAGTTGGGGTGTCTGGGCCCCAGTGACCAGTGTACTGTGTCCCTCACATTTTAAGAGGTACATATAATGCCCCATTCACCCTCAGCTTGAGATGAAAGAGGAAGCTCTTCCTTACTTTCTGTGTGTGTCTGTCCTAGTAGGGAGCAGAGTTCTCTGCAGAGCTTTCTCACCCACTCTCAATACATGCTAGGTGCACACAGACTGCATCTAGAAATTGCACATGCCCGTGAGAGATGATTTCAGTGCATCGGTGGGCAGGCTTCAGGGGTTGTAATAAGGGCTTGAACTTCCACTGCAAGTGAGTTGGGAGCCCCAGGAAGGTGCAGAGAGGGGTGGCCTTGGTTAACTCCTGCTTTTGCAGCTTTTCTGCACAACAATAGACAAAGCCAAGGAGGGCAGAAGTAGGGACAGCGACGGGCCATGGGATTGTCCACCTGCACTGCCGCGGAGGCTGCAGTGAGGGATCAGGCAGTTGAGAGCTTGAGGAGAGGAGTCCTGAGTCTGAAGGGAAGGCAGACCAACATTTGGAGGTGGGCTGGTCTAGGAGTTGGGGAGAGGGAAGAAGGCATCTGGGGCGAGCGTGAGGTGTGGGCGTGGGCCTGAGTCATTGGAACCTGGAATTGCCCTCACCGAGGCAGGCAGGGTCCTGGGACTTGGGAGGATGGTAGGTCTGGGGGGCTGTCGAGAGTCCAGCTGAGAGCAGGTACCACGGGCACCAGATGTGCGGCCTTGTTCAGCCCTGAGGGTGACTTCTGAGCCTGCCTCTGGGATGTTCTGAATGAAAGCACCTTTATACACATATGTCTGTATGGATGTATATAGGTGGGGTTGTAGCAATACGACACTTATTTAAATACACAATACCATTGATACGTAAAATTAGATTATATATGCTATATGAGACTATATGCTGGCATATAGTCTTTTTCAATGATTAAATGAAATTCACCCATGAGATTTGTATTTAAATGAGTATATATATTTAGTTCAGTTGCTAACATCTAGTCACTATTTAATGGTTAAATGAGATTTTCATAGGTGTATATATATTCAATATTTCATATATGTAAAAATATAAATTCCATTATATGTCATTATTGGATATAGCTTTATAGCAGGCATTGGCACAGACACTGGCAGTGGTGTTGAACCTATGGCACACATGTGTGCAGCAGGCTGCTTGTTATCATTGAAAACTCTCAAAGGTTCACCATCATTGCAGTATTGAATGATGTAATGTGATTTATGTGTGTGTGTGTGTTATCTTTGAGGTTTTTATATAATATTTATACAAATATATGAAAGACGTGTTTAAATGAGATTCAATGCATATATACATAAAGTTTTATATGCAATATATCTAGAACTGTTTTGGAGGTCACTAGTGATTAAATGAGCTTTACATGTCTATGAGAGATTATGTATGTAACTCCCCAACTAATAGAGATTTCAGTTGCAAACTTTCACAGGTACAAATGGACTTCCCACTTGGTTTTTTTATGCTTTATATTGTATATTTGTGTCAAAGGTGTAAAAGACTCACTTTGTTGGGCTCCCAAATGAATCCAAACATTCTGCAGAACAGAACTCATTTGGAAGTTGAGGACTTACTCTACACACACACACACACACACACACACACACACAAACAAACACACTCACACACAGACGCACTTTTACCCCTATAGATTCCATAAAGCAGCCCCACTAGCTATCCAATCCTGAGGTTTTAGAGAAGTCTGCATTTGTCATCTGAACCACTTCTTAGAGGCACCAAGGTGGTGGCATTGGACCAGGGATGGCCCAGGAGCATTTCTGAGCAGGGCATGGAGCCAAGTACAGAATTTAGCATTCATGATCAACAGCCAGCCAAGAGCCAGAACCCAGGGACCCAGTGGCAGAATGGGCCACTCTCGGGAACTGCAGGCTGGAGAGTTGGAGGGGTACTGGACACTTGGGTGGAACAGCTGCCATCTTGCTCAAGGATTGGGAGGTGTCCTTTCTCTTGTTGCTGAGACAAAATACTTGATGCCCAGAATTAAGGAAGGAAAGGTGTATTTAGCTCATAGTTTGTGGAGGTTTCAGTCCATACTCCACTGGCTCCAAGGGAGAGTGGTACATGGCAGAGGGCAACAGTTCATGGTGGCAGAAAAAAGCAGAAGCAGCAAAAGCAAAAAGGAGGAGTGGAGAGGAGAGCAAGCCTCTTTCCCACCCTTGTATTGTATGCAAACTATCTGCCCCAGGGCAGATGTAGTTCTCGTACCCATAATTCCAGCATTGGACCATGGATCAATAAAAACTCTAGAAGCCCGCTCCATGACTGCATGAGGCTTTGAGGGGGACATCTAGACACAAATCATAACAGGAGGGGACTCCAGGATACCAGGTGAGCAGGAAGTTCCAGTGTGGGCGTGAATTAGTGATACATCCTCCTACAGACCTGCTAGTTTGCACAAGGTAGGAACAGAGCTGGACAGGTGGCCCAGAAGACCATATCAGGAACATGAGATTCCTAGGCTTTACTAGAAAAAGTATAGTTTAGAGTAAGACAACTTGTACTTTAGATTTTTAGGTACAGTGGCATATGCCTGTAATCCCAGCTACATGGGAGACTGAGGCAGGAGGATTTTAAGTTTGAGGCCAACCTGGAAAACACAGGCAGATCCTGTCTCAAAAAATAAAAACAAAACTCTAAGTGGTTTTGCTGAATGATATCACCTTAACTTTTCTAATCTGTACAATAGGAACAACCTGAGCCCCCCAAATGGAGCTGGTTTCTAGCAAATGTCCCCTAAGTAGTATTCCATGACATCCACTATCTTCTCTTTTCCATAAAAAGCAATGGAAACTGGCTGAAGAGTGGGGAAAGAAGGGAAGTGGCAACTGGGGAGGCAGACAGTCTCTGTGACTCTCACCTGGGACCGACATCCAAGCTGATGTAACTAAAGAGTATCAGGGGGCCCCACCCAGTCAGAGAAGCCCCCAGCCAGATGGTGACTTGTGGGTGCAACTTGATAGCCTCCTGGATTAAGGGCCTTAGAATGATCTGAGGCTGTAGGATGGCTGGGGTCCGTGCTTCAGCTGTGGCGTGCAGAGAGACTCTGACA